TATTCCAAGCTCAAGAAGCTTCCTTTAACCCCTAAAGTGCCTTTTTTAACTTTAATACTTTTTGTTCCTCTCCCATCTTCCTGTAACCAGGTGGTTGTTCAAGATAAATTTCCTCTTCTATCACTCCATTCAAAAATGCCGACTTCACATCCATCTGATATATTGTCCATTCAAATTGTGCCGCATAAGAGATACGAAGTCGAATTGTCTCCATTTTTATAACCGGGGCAAAGACCTCATCATAGTTTATCCCTGCCTTTTGTATATAGCCCTTTGCCACAAGTCGAGCCTTGTATCGATTTATCTCACCTTGAGCATTCATCGTTTTCTTGAACACCCACTTTACTCCAATAGGTCAACTTCCTTTAGGTAATTATGCAAGTTCCCATGTCTTGTTTCGTTCGATGAACTTGATCTCCACATCCATGGCTCCTTTCCACTTTTCATTCTTCACCGCTTCTTCAAAACTTATATTTTCACCATCAACAAGAAGAGAAATAAGGCGTGCTTCGCTTGTAAAATCATACAACTCTTGTAGGCTTTGCATTTTTGATTGTCTTGGTTCTTGCTCATCATCGGATATTTGAGGATTTCTAGGTACCTGAGAACATGTAGGAAAATTTGTTAGTGAAATAGTTGGTGATTCTCCATTTTCCATATGTTATTCCGATGAATTATATTGTTCCAATCCCATTTGCTTGCTTCATTCACCCGAACATCTCGACTTACCACCACCTTCTTGTTTATTGGGTCAAGTAGTTTGTAACCCTTAGTTTGCTCATCAAACCCAATAAACACATACTTCTTGCTTTTATCTTCTAGCTTTGTTCTTTGTTGATCTGGCACGTGTGCATAGGCTACACTACCAAATATTTTAAGATGCGAGACTGTCGGTTTTTGACCACTCCATGCCTCTTGTGGAGTTTTATCTTCTAACTTCATATGTGGGCATCTATTTTGTATGTAAATTGAACATTGCAGTGCTTCCGCCCAGAATTCTTTAGGCATTTCTTTACTCTTCAACATTGACCGAACCATATCAAGAATGGTTCAATTCTTTCTCTCGGCCACACCATTTTGTTGGGGTGTTCATATGGTGTGGTTAGGAACTTTCTTACTCCTTGTTGCTCACAAAAACTTGTAAACTCCGCTGACTTGTATTCACCACCTCTATCAGATCACAATGCTCTAATAAACTTCCCGTTTGTCTTCTCCATCATGGCTTTAAATTTCTTAAATACATTGAAAGTCTCGGATTTATCCTTCAAAAAATAAAACCAAGTTTTTCTGGAATAATCGTCGATAAAAGTAATAAAATACCTTTTACCACTGAAAGATTTAGGAGTGATTGACCCACAAATGTCGGTGTGTACCAATTCAAGAATTTTTTATGCTCGATATTCTGCCTTTTTCTGAAATGAATTTCTTGCATGTTTCCCAAATATACAATCTTCACAAAGCTTATTGGTGTAATCTACTTCTAGTAGTCCATACACCATTTTCTTCTTCAACAATTTTTGTAGGCCTCCATAGTGCAAATGACCAAATCGCAAATGCCAAAGAGACGCCTTGTCTTCTACATCAACTTGCAAGTATTTTTCTTGTACATAAACATAGTTGATCTTGTACATTCTATTCTTCGCCATATTAATTTGTGTAACTAACCGCCCCTTCTTATCTTTCAATTGTAGAACTTGATCTTTCATGAACACTGAATATCCTTTCTCCATGTGTTGCCCCATACTAAGTATGTTACTTTTAAGATCATGTACAAAATACACATTTTCAATTAGGCCTTTTGCGCCATCTTTTTGCATGTAAGAGATTGTACCTTGACCTTTTACTTGAATCTTTGATGCATCACCAAATGAAACATGCCCATCCTCAACAACCCGCATTTCTTTGAACAAATGTCTATGCCCGCACATGTGGTTACTAGCACCAGTGTCGAAATACTAATTCGTCTCGTCACTACTATTCTTTTCATCATGAGCTATCATGAGAAGCCCATCTTTCACCTCTTCTTCTATTACAAGATTTGTATTCTCCTCAATCTTCTTTTCACCATAACAATCTCTTGCATATTGCCCAAATTTGCCACAATTATAATATTTTTCAGAGTTGCAGTCCTTTGCATAGTGACCATACTTGCCACATTTGTAACATTCAACATTTGAATGATTTTGCCGACCGCCTCTTCCACGACATCGTCCTCGACCTCGCCAATTTTGTTGATTTGACTGCTCCTTCTCTTCAAATTGTCTTCCATAACCATGGCCTCTTCCACCACTTTCATTTCCACGACCTCTTCTTCCTCGTCCTCTTCCTCAAAAATTTTGAGAGTATAGTACCTTATCATCTTTAATTGTTGCCTTTGATTGAAGAACTTCTTCGAGCATCTCCTCCTTCTTTTTCTTTCGTTGCTCATGTGCCTCAACAGAGCCAGCAAGCTCTTCAACAGTTAGTATGTCGAGATCCTTTGATTCTTCAATCGCGCATACAACATTCTCAAAATTATTGGTTAATGACCGCAATATCTTCTCCACTACTCGGGCATCGATTAACATCTCACCATTTAGCTTTAGTTGATTTACTACAGCTTGCACACGAGTGATGTAATCAGATACACCTTCTGACTCTTTCATCTTCATCCCTTCCAATTCAGCTCTCAAAGTTTGGAGGCGTACTTGCTTCACATGATCGGCACCTTTGAACACTTTCTCTAAAGTGTTCCACGCTACTTTTGAAGTTGTTGCTCCGGCAATCTTCTCAAAGCCCGACTCATCTATTGCTTGATATAGAAAATAGAGAGCTGTTTTATCCTTTGTTCGCATCTCTTTCAATGCCTTTGATTGGTTCGCCATCATGCCCGCCGTATCGGTCACTTCAACGAAGCCGTTCTCAACGACTTCCCATGCATCTTGTGCGCCCAACAATGCCCGCATATGAATACTCCAATTGTCATAATTTGTCTTCGTGAGTCGTGGTAGTGTTATTTGTCCCATCAAAAAACTTCCAGAATTTACAATGGGGCTCTGATACCAAATTGTGAAAGAAACAAAAAAAAATTGGAAGAAGAAGAAGAAGAGAAATGGAAGATGTAGAAACACACAAACTTTTTCTTCTATTAATTATCTCATACTCACATTAAACTATTTTATTTAAATGAAACATCACTTCACACACACCCTTTCACTTTCAAATGAAACATCACAGCTTCACAAACATCCTTTCACTTACAATTAACTACATTTAATTTAGAAAATAAACCACCACACAAATGAAAAGACACATCCATACAAATAAATATGATTAAAGATTTTGAATTTATTAACAATGCGTGGCAACTTTTTTTCTCCATTTTTTAATATAGTCCTCAATAGTTTCTTCTAAAAATATTTTCTTCTAAATCTATCTTGAATTAGTCCTTATTCTTGTCACTAGGGAATTTCATGTAATTAAGCACATCTACAGTCATTTATTGGTCTTGTACTCTAATGATTTATTCCCCTTAATGAACATTTATCATAGGTTTCACTGTAGTTAAGAAAGGCCTCCCTAAGAAAATGGGTATCTCCATGACCTCCTTCATATCCAAGACAATGAAATCTACAAGAAGGATAAACTTATATACCTTAATGAGAACATCTTATACCACCGACTTAGGATAAATAAATGATCTATCAGCTAGCTGAAGGGTGATTGTGGTGTGTTGGACCTCTCCTAAATCTAGCCTCCTAAAAATTGGGAAAAGGCATAAGGTTGATATTGGACCCCAAATAACATAATGCTCTCCCACAAAATTTGTCCCCAATAGTCATAGGAACGGTAAAACTATCCAGATCCTTTAACTTCTCAGGGAGCTTCTTTGATATGATTGCACTAAATTACTCTTTGAATATTATAGTCTCAAATTCCCCAAGTTATCTTTTCTTATTAAGGATGTCTTTCAATGATTTTGATATAAGTGGACATCTACTCTAAGGCTTCTGAGAAGGGTATGCTAATGATTAAATTTTTAAAAAATAAAAAACCTAGAGAATTGTTTATCCAAATTTTATTTTATCAACATTTAGGAAAAAGGTGGTAGTGGTCTCTCTATAACCTTCCTAATATGTCTTTCAATTACTTTAATTGGTCCAGGTTGTTCTTTAGATGGTTTAGTAACAATAGGATCTTCTACCACAATTTCCTTTTAAGGTTAATCCATTTCCTTATAGAGATCTTCCAATTCTTTCCCACTTCGTAAATGAATAATCGTGCAAAGTTCTTCCAAATTATTTTCATTAAGATTTGGATGTTAATCATGGGGTCTACTATTAATTAAACTAGCAAGTTGCCCTATTAAGTTTTCTATGTTTTTAAGGGCAACAAATTGGTTTTGTAATTGATTTCTCATATGAAGCACTAAATTCTTCAAAAGTGTATTTCTATCTTTGAATTAGTTATTCTAATTTAAGTCAGGGGGGTAGAGGGTTTAGGGTTCTCTATAAGTTGCTAAGGATTATTCCAAGGTCTTATAGGGTTAGACTGATGTGCATTCCATTAATTTTCACCATCATTATTACCAATTAAATTAGGGTGGTTCCTTCAACTTAGATTATATGTATTTAAATATGGATTATTTGATATTCTAATATCATTCACATTCTCAATCCCTTGAGAACTAGACTCATTAATAGAATTCAAGTCATTCTTATCCAAATGCATAGGTGATCTCAAGACTAAACAAACTCCAAGATTGTCTAACTTCTTAGACATGGTTGCTACTTGAGCAGTCAAAATAGATAAAACATCCTACTAATAGACACTGACTACACTCCTAAGATTCACCCATATTAGAAGACCACTTGAAGTTATTTGCTGTCATTTTCTCTATTAAGGCATAATCCTCATCAAAAGGTTTTAACATCAAAGATCATTCGGTTGCTACATCACTTATATACCTAAAGGATACTATAAGTCATTATAAAATATTTTAATCACCAACCAATTAGGCAAAGCATGATGAGGGTACTTTTTAATCATTTCCTTAAATCTTTTCCAACTTTCACAAATTGACTCTCTGTCATATTGGGAAAATGAAGTAATAGCATTCCTAAGCTTAACAATTTTGGAAGATGAAAAGTAATTTATTAGGAACTTTTAAGTCAACTCATTCCAAGTTGTTATGGAGTTTGGTGATAAGGAATTTAACCACATTTAGAAAAAATGGAAACAAATGAAGTCTAATAGTATCATCACTAACTCTATTGTAATGGAATATTATGCAAATTTCTATTAAACTAGTTAAATGTAAGTTGGGATTCTTAACTGGTGTCCTCCAAACTAAGAGTTTTGAACTATTTGGATAATGGTTAGTTTCAACTCAAAATTATTAGCTTGGATAGTAGGTTAGTTAATACTCTGATAAATTTCAACTACTAAGGAATTGACCTACTCCCTTAGGTAAATCTTGATATGAATTTTGTTCTACCATTCCTACTACTAAAATGTTTTTAGTTTTATAGATTTTTGTAAGGTTCCCTTTTATTTCTAGGTCAAATAATAAGGGTCTCTTACTTTTACTATTCATACACCAAAATAATGAATGAAATGCAATAAATTAAATTAAATTTAACAACTACATAACAATCACAAGTTCATAGCTTCACAAATGACAATAAAAATAACAATAACAAATACCACTAACCAAGTAAAAATTAGAAAAATCATGTTGGATTAAATATGTAGCTTTTTGGATAATATAAAAATAATTGCAAAAGCGCATATTATATTCCCTTGCAAGTGGTATCAAAACCCGATGGAAACTTTACTTTGATATGTAATTGAGCTTGCTTGCTACTATGAATGTATGTGTTATATGCTCCCAACTACGCAAGTGCATGTGCCGATCAAGTAATAAAGTGTGTAAGAAGATTATCGATCCCACGAGAAAATAAGGGCACTACAATTAACTCTTGTATTGTCTACTCAAGCCATAAAATTTATCCTACATAATGGAATAAAAGGTGAGACACTAACACTATGGAGAAATGCAATAAATAGTGAAGATAAGTAGAATTAAAGATATTTTTAGGCTAATGATACTAAATGAACCAATGTTTTCCTATGTGGCATCATCTATAATAGTTGTGAATCAGAGTATATGCGCACTTAGATCTTTGTCAAGCTTGTAAGGGTGTAAAGAAAAGTTTATGGCCTTTCCACAATAATTCCATCTCCATAGACCCTAGAATCCTAGTATCCTATATCTAGGTATACAAGCATTCTATCTCAACCCCTTTAATTGTTCCAATATTCCTCCATTGAGGTAATGTATCACACAAGATTTTAAATTTATACACGTTCAACGCATAAATTAAATTAAGGATGAGGAAAATTGAGAACAACCATTCACATTTACATTCAAGAATTTACATTAGGAAAAATAAAGACTATTCACATCATCAACACAAAACAAAGAAGTTAACCAGCTAAAGAATTAATTTGGAGTGACACACATTTTATTGCTTGCTTTAGAAAATATACAAAGATGAAAGATGAGAAAATATCATCCAGAATTGAGAATCCCAAATATATCCTACAGATGGACTCTTTCTGGAGTGATTCCCTCCTTACACTTTCACTCTCCACACTCTCATCCACCCCCTAAGGAGTTTTTGCTCACTACGACTAACCACTCCAAAAAAACATAACATCACTATCCATGGTCTCTTTGGTATCTCTCTAAGACTTCTCATAAGAAATCCCACAAAACTATTTATATTTATTTACATAAGCTGACTCAAGCATCACAACACTCGATACAGTGGCATCATATTATTACAGTGTTGAACTAGTGCCGACGTTTCTTAGTTGACTCCGATATAGTGTTGGGTTGACCCGACATGACTTTTAGCTGACCAGGCCAGCACGACACACCTCTTCTAAGTGCTCCTGCAAAAGAATGAATGATGCGACACTTAACATTTTTGCAGAACATCAATTAAAACACATATTTTAACTAAATATTAACATAATTTTAACTTAACAACAATATTTCCCATGTAGGCTTAAAAATATATTATTATTCCGATATTGTTAAAAAAATATTCTTATTCCAATAATGTTAATATCTTAATAAAAATGACTCTATTCTCTTCTAGAGTACTAGCCCATCAATTATAAAATACAAACCTAACTTCACATAACATATCTAACAGTGCATGGATTGAAAGTAATCTCAAGATCAATATTCTTAAATTTATTATTTTCATTTAGGTAATTATTAATTACTCATCTACTATTAATCATCTCCTAAATTTTCTCATTAGTTGGATATCCACATAGTGTCATCCAATTATCTCGCCATATTTAGAGAGAACAAAAATTTCATTTTTACCTCCAACGTTAAATATAATGGATAAACCATCATTATCAACATATATGTTAAGGCAACGGACACATCACCAGGGTCCAGAAATTTCCTCTGTTAAAAGGCTTACTTAGATCTCTATATATACGCATGTACTGTGTAATAATTTAGACACAACAAAGCAATATTTTCCTTATTCTCTCTTCACTCTGTCTCGTTTGTGTTTCTCTTCTCCCGTCTCAACCTTTCTCAATATAAACCTTTCTTATGGGAACCTAATGAGTTAGTATTAAAAAAATTATAGGTGAGCATTTACAAATTGTTAGGCAGGGGGATTGATTAACACTATCAAATGGACTAAAACTTTTACATTGTTTAATAATTTTCTCCATCACACCCTCCTATACTTATATACCCCAAGCAATATAATTCCTCTTCATAAGAATAATGAATTTGAGCATCTATATTCATTATTGTAGCAACAAGTCACCATGTAAGATAAATGGGTTCAAACCACATACTATGAGATATTACATGGTTTCGATCCTTAATTTGAAGCAAGTTTGAATCTACTCTTAAACCTCCATTTTGAAGCTAAATTAGCCCAATGTCTAAAATAAATGTCTAAATGTATAATTTGGGGTTTAAATAAAAGTTGTTACCAAGTTCTAACAAAACTTGAACCTCTATTTCAAAGCTAATGTTTGAATCCTATTTCAAGTTTGAAGTTGTTTTAAATCTATAATAGGGGATTAAACTCTACTTCAAAGATACCTAGAATGAGAAGTTTAGGCAATATATTCTTGAAGATTCACACAAATATGATGGATTATCCCTCATATTTCAACATAAGAGTAATTTTTATCATAAATTAAGCACGTGATACTAGTCCAAATAAAATTACAATGAACATAATACTCTTAATTAGTGCCATACGAGGGATAAAAAAGTCAAATTTCCCTTATTTTATGAAGATTTTATTGTTTTGGTTTTTAATTTTTTAAAATATAAATAGTATGATAAAAAATAAATATAATTTCACTCCAAGTGATAGTATCAAATAAATAAAAATAAATAATTAATTAAAAAAAGGATTTCCAAAGTTTATATTTTTATTTTAAATTATTTTGTCTATCTTGTGTAGGAATATGTAACTAGTTATTAACTTTAAAAGGGAAAGATAACCCATAATAGCAAAAAATTAAAGAAATATGTATGTTTTATATTTTCTTAGGAAAGTATGCCTAAAAGTTCCACCTAAATCAAAATACCCCCTATTATGCCTATATCCCATAGTATATATATAATGAAATCCCTCCCTTCTCACATGTTTGAATATGGTTTGATTATGATTAAACAATAATAAAATACATTGTGGACCAATTATTTTCTAAGGTTGAATTAAATATCAACATTATAATATTATATGGCAGATAATAGAAGAGAAAATAAGCAAATTAGTAGGACATTTACTAAAAAATAGAGTGAATAATCAAAGTTATAAAAAGTATTTCTTTTGATCATCCCATGGATCTTATATAGAAAGTGATAGAGGCTTATAAAAGCTAAGTTTGAAATTAAAGGAGTTGGACCACTTAGCTGGAGCATAGTAAAAAATTTCAATTCATCTAATTAAACTACTTAAATATTATGATCTTACATTTTTCTTGAATGAGATATCATTATCCATTTAGCAACAATCTCCCATTTGTGTGTTTGTTGCTCCTAGAAAAAAGTAAACAAGTAGCCCTTCATCTTACACCAGTATGTGTGTGTGTGTGTGTGTGTGTGTGTTTGTGTGAAGATGTGTACATTGAACATGAAAAAATAGGTGACGATGTTGGCATGCGGGCTATATATAGTAGTGATTCCCTAGAAACTCACATATTAAATCATCTATAATAGATTATAACCCTATGATCCATCTAAAACCAGGAAATGGGTAAGGTATTCTAACTCTTCTTGTACATTGGGGGTTAAAAATAATAGTTCTAGTCATAAAGAATACATGGATAACTCCCATCCTTTATGAGGCTATGCTTTAAAGTGCATCTTATTCAATGGTTGTTGATATAATGCCATGGGGCTTGTATTTGCCCATTACTTAATCACAATATGAGAAACTCTTTGATAATGATGATATGAAGCAAATGACAATATCCATGTAATAAAAAGAAGCTTTCTTGTCAAGGTGAAGAAATCATGTAAAAAAGTATGCAACATTTGCAATGCATCAAAAAATACTCAAGTAGCTTGCAAGCCAATACTTTGACAAACTCAAGTATATCTAAGATTAAAAGCATTGAATTAGAACACATATGTACCTTTGATGTTATATTAAAAGAGTACCAATATGCTCAACTATGACTCATTGGGCACATAATAAAGGATAAGCTCATTTCATGTGATTTAATGTAAAGCTAAAGACAATAGTAGTAGATGTGAAGAGTGAATGTAATGATTTATCCTATGAGAAGGCTTTGTGGTGTCATGAGCAACTATCACTTACTTAAAAGGGTCCACCGAAGCATCATGTTTGAAGTGACCATCTTATCAAGTTATGCTGTACAAAAAAAAAAATCTAGGGATAATTATCAATCTTTAACAAGACAATGAATGATGTTTTAATTATATATATTTCTCTTTAGGTGTTAGTACTCAATACTTCAAAAGTGTTTGATGCCCAATATTAAGCGTGGATGGAGCTTTTTTGAACACAAATTTTGGAGGTTCTTGCTTGTGGTAGTAGGCCAAGATACTAATTAATACTTAGATTTAAGCAATATCATTTATAATAATGGACCCAAAAAATAATTATTCATGTATGCATTTTATAACTAGGATGAGGAAGTTAATAGGCATAGTAAAAAAAAAAAAAAAAAACTTGGTGTTGTCTTTAAAAAACATAATAAATGGCTAATGCTTCATTAATTATTTTTCTAGAGGTACACTAATGCACTTACATTCATTAATGACATGTGCATCTAGAATGTTTAATGCTATGAGTCTCTTATGTGAACGTGTTTTTGGTATAGCTCTGGACCAGGTGTGTGTAATTTGTTAATATGTTTAAAGTTATATATAGATGAAGCGTGATTAGTTGCATCCATTAAAAATATATATTAAGTTAAAAAAGAAGACATTTGTGAGATTTTAGATGAAACAAAGAGAGTTGTGTGTTACCCCTACTAGTAAAGCTTAAGAATGGTCATCTTATAAAGTATAAGGCTTTCAAAGTTAGAGAATGATGATGTCCAATGTTGGTGTAGATGATATGGAGTGAAAGGCCATCATAATAGTTTTCAGTTAACCATTCTTGTTATTACAAGAATATTCTAATTGGTTGGTTGTGCAATAATATGCTTGTCATTATAATATATTATAGCCAGTATTTTACTATCTTTTGTAGCCATTGTCTATTATAATCTATTATAAGAAAACCACTTAATTGTTAGTTTACTTTGTATTATGTTTTATTTCTTATAAACCACTCTCCATATTATGATTGTTATATTACATTTCTTATAATAAGTTCATATAACTTGTCAAATGTTTACTATTGTGTCATACTTGTTATGATTAAATGAATGCATTGAGGGGGAGTAGTATTAAACTATAAGCTAAATACCTTAATTGAATTTCTTATAAACCACTTAATTAGATATTTTCATGCATGGCTTATAGGATAAAATGCCTTTCTTATATAATTTATACAATAACTTTTATTTTAATATTTTTTTAATGGTGTGAGTAGTATTAAACTTCAATTGTTAGAGTGATCTCCTACAAGTTTAAACTATAAGCTAAATACCTTAATTGAATTTTGTTATTTTTTGATACTATATTAAAATAAATTTATGCCCCCGCTATGAATTTTTTTGGCTTTGGCACTATGTGATTGCACTTTATTTTGTATTAATTTGAGATATAATTCATAATCGAATAACCTTTCAATGATGATCGAATATTAAGCATATAATAATTGATCCATTTTCAACATAATTATCATAATATGAGGACCACAGTCCAAAATGATATAATCATTTTCAAATTATGATTTAGTAATTCTTGTACTGTACTATGGTCGAATATTCTTCGAATCATTCTCTATATATGATTGATTAATTATATTATCATATTCATCTACTGTTGAATTATCTTTGAACCAACTACTTTCAAACCAATGTATCTTCATCTTTTAATCACAATAGATTAAACAAAAAATGGATGATAAATATATTTCTAAAAAAAAAAATAATTAATATATTTTTAAATTTCATAAAATATATAAAGTTAAATTTCTCTTTTTTTTTAAAAAAGAAAAGTGTTATTTTATTTTATTTTTTAAACAGTAGGCAACGTAACTGGTTCTTTTTCAGTTGGAGCGCTGAGCGTAGCATGCGAGGAGCAATGGGGAGCTCGAATACAGCTGGAGGTGGCGTCAGGGAAGAAAGCGCGATGGAAGATGGAGGGGCTGACGGTGGCGCCTACCCTCCGGAGACGCCTGCCTTTGGTACGTTCTCGGAGGGCGAGAAGGTCCTCGCTTACCATGGACCTTGCCTCTACGAAGCCAAGGTTAGGGTTTCACTTTCTCATTTTTCCGGTTTTCTATTCTGCCCTTCTTTTCCTGGAGTTAAAGTTCCGGATTGCATATGTATATTTTCGGTGATTATGCGGGTCTTAGACGGAGGAATGTGGAAATGTTTTGTGCGTATCCAACTGTAGGGTTCTATTAGCAGTAGTAGTATTAAGGGGATTCAGTTGAATCGCGATGGAACATTTAGCTTTGAGAGTTAATTATTGATTTTTTATTAGTGGATAATATTGATTGGTCATGATGATTTCACATATTGCAACCTAGTGCTGTTGTAAGCAATAGTTTGTCCTTGTTAGCTGAAAGTTGAGTTACACTCAAAATTCACATGGTGGATCATATCATCACATTGATGATACGATCAATAATGTAATGTGCATATTAGGAATATATTGATGTGCATATTAGGAATATATTAATGAAGATTTGTGAGTCATTAGATTTACATTAAGTAGAAGAGCTAATAGGTAGTGTATGGGTCATGCATTGCCTATAAATAGTCTTCATTGGGAGCTATTAGAGCACCAAAAAAAAAAAATGAAATGAAACATGGCCTTGTTTGAGATATTCTTCTTCTTCCTTCGTTACATTCTCTCAATCTTGTATATTCTTAAGTTTCTGACAAGCTCAAAGTTATAGTTTATCATTGTGATCCTTCGGGGTCGTACTAATTGGTGCTCTCGTGGAGCTCTCAACATAGAGTGCTTGGCAACCTCTCTCTATTTTCATCACAAACACCTCCCATCTTTCTCATTTTGCTATCAATTGTGCCCGATCGAAACTCAATTCCGCTTTTCGCCTCTACCTCCAATTTTTGAGTTCCTCATTCTTGCCAAAAAGAAAAACTTCCACCTCCTGGTTGCACCAATCTTAGTCTCGTATCCCATCCGTCATCTCTCATGCCAGACCTACTCTTATTCATCTTGAGCACATTCCATTGCAAATCTTCTGTTCCTTCATATTTCTATTGCATCCAACACTTGATATTATTGATCTCCATGATTCTAATTACTTCCAAAGACAGTCGTCGAAGCATCAGCCCCCTTCTTCTTTTGTCTCTAAGACCCATGATGTCACTATTTATCGTTGGAGCTCCAGTCACTTCCTCTGTCATATCCTGCATACCACAATCGCCAAGCCCATCTGCATTTCCCACTTCCTCTACCCAAACTCCATTGATATTTATCTTCCATGCTCTATGCCCTGCACCGGATCCATTTGATTCACATTCATCTTTTGATCTTCCATCCAAATAGATCTTCAGTAGACTGTTGTGTGGTAAACCAAACCCATCCATTTGATTGCTTATCTTACCTTCCAGATTTGCGACATCAATCTTACTACTACCATCTTAGGACTTATGGGCTCTGTCACCTCCATCCTCGCCCATATCACAAGATCAATTTATGCATTGTTTGAGAGGTTTGACCTGCTAGCAAGATCCTTCTTGACCCATAACCATTGATATTTCTCATTCACGCACAATTGCTCCCTTGTCTTCCATGTTGACCCATACAGTTGTTTGATGAAATGCCCATAGACACTAACCATTGATATGGATGTAGTAATTGAGGACTCAAACCACATCGAAAGAATTGAAAAAAAACTTGGAGAGATTTGGCCATTTGGGATACTATGCATAGCATTAATCAACAACTGACTAGGCTCGAAGTCAAATCCAAACAACACTTCACTCTCACAACACAACTTGTCAAAAAAGAGCCTTTAGAAGTTAGCAGCATTATACACATGCAGGCCACAACACACATTACAAATGGCAAGTGCCTTACTATGAATTGAGATCCTTACAAATGATAAGCATCTGTTTGAGCCCCTTTGTGTAATTCAAGCGATCATCCATGCATGCTCTCCTACTCTAGCAATTTAATCCATAATCCAAGAACCTGCTTGAGCTCCTTGCTTGATGACACTAGCGATCCGGGCATCTGTTTTAGCTCATTATTTGTTTCAACAGACATCAAAGCCTTGTCCCGGTCCACCACTACAATTTCTATTGCTTTCTATATTTGAAGACACTCCTATCATACTCAAGGCAGCTTAAATCACTCTAGAACAAGTGTAGGGACCAAATGAATTGGTGGAAGCATTGTTGCTGCGTCCATGACCACATGTGGATCATCAAAACGACGTTTGACTTTGCGGTTGCTCGCCTCTTGCAGCTTCATTAATGTTGACACCTACATGCCATTACCTCAAGATTTTGCTCTAATTTATTATGTGTTTTTAACCAATTTTTTTATATGCTTTGACCTCAAGGGAAATTTCAATTTAAATGGGTTGGTGATGATATGATCAATAATTTCATGGACGGAATATATTAATGAGTATTTGTGCATAATTTGGTGTGTAATAAGTAAAAATGCTAATAATTAGTTTGTGTCATATATTATCTATAAATAGTTTTCATTGGAGCAAGAACAAAGATATGCACTTTTTTTCCCATATACGGTCACTTTATAATATAGATCAAAGATATCTAAATCATTATTCCTAAGCATCACTTGATGCTTCATCTTTGTTGAATGATCAATATTAATTTTACATTGTACTTAACTTTTTGTTATCTTAAAACTTCATCCAATTTCCTTAAAGTTTTTTCTTATTGTCTCTTAATAGAGATCAAAACATTGATTCTTTGCCAGTATAGCATGTTAGCTAAGTGTGATTCTTTAAGCCCAAAGGTTAGCGGCTCCAACTTAAATGCATAATTTTTTGTCCTTCCTAGAGCTAATAAAATTTTATACTTAATCCACTAGCAATTTTACCTATTAGGATTGGATTACTTTCAAATCGTGCATAACTAACTCATTTTTATTATTTACTATTGTGAAACCCTAGCTACGACTAGCCATAGAGTAATGAAAATGAGAATATTTGGGGAATGAGCGACTGAGTGCGTGTGATTAATTTAGGACAGTGGAGAGAAAATAAGAAATTAGTTTTAATTTTTTTAATAGATAAAAATTTGAAATACAAGAAACTATATTTTAAATTTTTTTAATAAAATATTTAAGACTTGCATGTCGAATACGTTGTCTAATTTATTTTTAATATTCTTTTAATCAAACACACCTTTGGCGCATCTGACAAGTGTTGGATGTGTGTTGGACATGTGTAGTATACTAGTATCCGATACATGTCTACATTGCATGCCGCTTTAGTGAGAAGTTTCAGTGCATCATAGTTGACAATGTGGTATCTCTGATCTTATTTATGCTGAGTATAATTTTTCAATGTATTGATTTTAAAGCTTAGTAAATCATTTGATTTTAATGTGGCTACAGATATAGGTGGATTTGATTAAACCATGTGAAATTGTGTTTGTATTTATGTATTTGATTTCCCATATTTCTGCATTTTGCTCATTTGTTATAAACGTAATAATTGGTATCTGAGTTGTAGTTAAGTTACACTAAGATTTGAGCATGTAAGATGGAAATATGAAGATTGAAAAATTTGATAGCTTAGACTTTGGCTATTGGATGATGAAAATAGAAGATCTTGTTTATGAAATTAAGTTTTATCAACCTTTAAAAGTATCAAAACCTTCTGCTATTGATTAAGAGAAATGGGTGTTGATGGATAGTGATAGCACCAAGAGTTGTTCACTTATCCCTAAACATGAATGTTACTTTTAATATTCTCAATGAAAAAATTGCGACAAACATGATGAAAGCATTATGAGACGTGTATGAGAAGCCTTCCATTTTCAATAAGGTACATATTTTATACAAGTTTTAATTTCAAAATGTCAGAAGGAGTTTCTATTGCTGGGCAAATTATTGGGTCAGGTGACCGGACGCGAAAAATAAGTTCGGACATCCAATAAAAATTTGCCGCGTCATCTGCGCTTTTGACTGCGCTTTTGACTTGCGCTTTAGTTGCGCTTTACTTGCGCTTTAGTTGCGCTTTACTTGCGCTTTACCTGCGCTTTACCTGCGCTTTACTTGCGCTTTTTGACTTGCGCTTTACTTGCGCTTTAGTTGCACTTTACCTGCGCTTTACTTGCGTTTTACCTGCGCTTAATTTAAAATAATATTTTATTAATATCCGGACCTATCTCCGATCTGATCACCTGACCCAATAATTTGCCCTATTGCTGGGCATATCAACGACTTCAACTCGATCATGAGTTAGTGAACCCCATGGACGTTAGCTTTGATTATTAAATGCATGCATTGCTACTTGAAAGTTAGAATGATATAGTAACATTCATCATCATCTCTTATGAACCAATCAAAGGCTGAATAATGTTAGAGACCTCGTTCTCACTGAAGAAATTTGACCATGTGAAACAAGTAAAATCCTTTCATCTTATGCTTTGATTATTAATAACAAAATATGTCCTAAAATAAAAGTATTCAGCAAGACAGGCATATTCAAATCAAGAAACAATAGCTAATTCACAAATCATAATAACAATAAATCCAAAGTCTCCCGAGCGAATACTGGCACATTGGAAAGTTTTTTGTAAAAGAAAGCATGAATAAGAACATTGCTATGGAAGACAATTAAGATGTACCTAATCTTTATTGTTGGTAACGTAATGGATTTATGGATATTGGACTCCGACAAATTTTTTTATTCTTCACAAACTAAGAAAAAATGATAAATTCTCTGTAGACAATTATGACAAAATATTTTTTTGCTGACGGTAAGTTCTTAAATATTGTATGCATTAGTGATTTAAAGCTCGAAAGATGATTCTGGCTTGAGAAATATGATTTCTATAATGCAGCTTGTGCTAGAAAGATGTAATGACACATTCAATTTTGACGCTTGGAAGGTGGATTAAAAAGCCATGATGAATGCCATGTGAAATAAAGCTGGTACATTCTATACGACAGATATAGAACAATGGGAGTTCCAACTTGTTTTAACATAAAGATGTATATGTAGCATCAAACATAAGACCACATGAGTGAGAAGGGCTAAAGATCCTCCATTTACAAGGTAAACATCCTTATTTAAAATTTATTGAATCTAATTTTTGCAAAGATTGTATTCTAAGAAAGCAATGGATGACCAATTTTTTAAAAGATGGAAGAGAACTTTTAACTAACAGCCTGAAATTGGTTCACGTAGATGTATGGAGGCCATTCTATATCATATCTTTAGGGGGCTTGATGTATTATATCACCTTCATAAATGACTAACCATAAAGCTATGTGCTTGTTTTATCAAACATAGATTTGATTTATTTACTATCTTTATTTATGAGATAGAAAAACTTAATTGAAATAAGAATGATGCAAAAATCGAATGTCTGTGAACCAATAATAGTTGAGAGTATGATGGTATGTGGCTTAAAAATTACAATGTTGCTAATCTGATTCATAAGGAGAGAACAATCCTATGAACTCCTTAACAAAATGGAGTTGCTGAAAGAATGAATAAGTCTTAAAAAGGATAGGGGAAGGAGCTTGAGAATATTAGATTCTGAAAAATAAACATAATAGCATATGTCATCAATTTAGGACTATTTGTAGCTTGGGCTAGAAAAGGAGTTATGTTACATTTGAAAGTTTTTGATTGACTCTCTTATATGCACACAGATCATAATGTAAAAGATAAATTTAAATCAAAATTGAAGGAGTGCTACTTATTTTATGGTATTAATGGTCTTTTTTCCATACTGTAGTTATTGAAAAAAAGAAGAAGCAAAACTATTATTTTAAATGAAATTTTAAAGTACAAATCTAGGTTAAGCATCAATTAAAAGTTGAGCTCTATAACAAAGTAAGTTGAATTGGAATAGCCCATTAATTTTGATAAAATACATAAGGTACTAGAAAATGATCAAAATCAAACTCAACCCAGCACTTATGTGACAAAAATCAGGATATCACAAATAATCAAAAGCATATTAATTATTATTCTCCTTTTGTTTATTTTTTGCTGCTTACTGATGCAGGTAAACCCAAATGTTACGAGGAAGTTGTGCACACTAAAAGACTCATTTAAGCAAGAGCTCGTAATGAAAGAAGGATATTACTTAAGCTAGCTGAGTTCTAGAAAGTCTTACAAAATAAATGGACCCACAAAATAAAAAAGGACCATAATGTCAACAAAAGGTATATGATGAGTTTGGTAGTGGAAAGGTTAGGCATTGACATCATTGAAACTTTTTCTCCCTGGGTTATACTAACAACTATATGATTAATATTGAGCATTATAGTTTCAGAACCCTTACACTTAGAGCAGATGGATGCTTAAGATTGCTTTGATCTAAAGGAAGACATCCAGATGATTTAGCCCAAAGGTTTCATGATACAAGGAAAATAAAATCAGATCTAACAAAAGTCTCTATGACGTAAAGCAGACCTTCCACCAATGGTATCAGAAGTTGATAAATTCATGCTTAGGTTGACTTTTGCATATTCGGTTTGATCACTATTGCTACGTGAGAAGCACTGAAAAGAATTATATCATATTGCTTTGATATCAAAAAAATCGATGATATGAAAAGATAGTTGTTAAAGGAATTTGAATGAAGGACTTGGAGAAGCCAAGAAGATTCTGGGATTGAGAATACATCGAGATAATAATCCAGGTATTTTGAATCTATTGCAATCTCTATATATTGAAAATCTATAGGATAGGTTTAATATGATGAAAGTAAAGATGGCGTGCACTCGACTTGCAATTACTTCAAGCTCAAAAGAACAATTATCGAATACAAATAAAGAGAGAATATTATAAAGTCCCTTGCATTTCAATAATTGGCTCGTTGATGTATGCGGCTATTTGCACAAAACCAGACATTCCACATGCAATGGGATCTATCAATCAACATGTTTCAAATCTAAAAAAAAAGGAGTGCTAGGAGGATGATAAGTGGATTTCGCACTACGTGTAAGGTATAATTAATCAATCAAAAATCTTAGAAGTGCTGATTTGCAATTTTAGGGATATTTTGATGGGCTTAGGGACGAAACTTGACATACATAGAGAAGTACTATTAGGCACATATACCCCTTAGGTGGTACCGCCTTCAATTTAGTGTCACAACTTAGAAGATAGTTGAAAAGCTGAAAACGTAGTTGCTCTTGAAGTCAATAAGGAGATGATTTGGGTAAAAGGCCTTTTGGAAGAATTAAATCTTGCAAGAAGAGACCACTATCTTCTGTAATAGTCAAAGTGCTATGCACTTGGTAAAGAATGCTGCCATCCACGCATGTACATAGCACATACAACCCAAGTGTCATTGTATACATAAATTACTTGCAGCTGATGCTATGCAGCTTGCCAAATTAACTTGGACCAGAAGTTGGCATTTGCTGAAAAGTTGACGCTTTTTGTAGTTTTAGTTAACTTCCACAAATAAGGATGTGGAGATGCTAAATATAAAAATGTTCTCTAATCACCAGGAAGGTGTATGGGAAATTTTATTTTTAAGCCTGAGATTATTAAGGGAGATAAAAATTTCCATTCCTAGCCTTATAATTTTCCTTCCTGCCACCTAGTATCTTACCACTATCTACCTAACCTCTATAATTATATTACCTACCACCTGAGATTATTAAGGGAGATAAAATGAGATGTAGGAGATGGATGCAGGATTTTTTGGCACATCCCAACATCACAAGCAATTAGAGAGAAAATGGCAAGGGAGAGAGAAGGGTGGCTGCCAACCTAGAGAGAAGGCAGAGTTTTTTAGGTGCTTTTAGAAGAAAGATCTACTTCAATAAGATATTGTTATTTTTGATTGCATATATAGGAGTTTTTAATTGGACTACTGAAACATAGAAATGGAGTAGCAGCATGAACAACACTATCTCCATTTCCACACCTAGCCTTTGTCTTCGAAGTTGGTCTGTATTCTCTTACAATCAATGACATCAACAAAATGGTTTACTTGTCTATATTTATATGAAGTGTTCTTTTTATGTACTCTTTTTGAAGCTTAGTGAATCATACAAACTTTGTTTTTCTGTGAGCATAGGTGGATCTCATTGAATTACGTAAATTTTATGTATTTATGATTGTGTATTTGATTTCTCATCTTCGTGCATTTTGCCTGTTAATATTAGCCTAAAAGATGCGACAGCCAGGTGTCTTGCATGCCATATGCTTTGTGTGCAGTTAAGCTTTCTGAATTTCTTAAATCAACATTTGAATCTCACATTTGTGACTGTTAGATTTTTTTTTTCTTTTTTTACTGAAAAAATGCTGAACGTTCTGATGTTCTAGTCATTTTATCTTGCTTATTAACTAAGTGATTTTTTTTTGTAAGCATAAAGAAGCCGTATAGCTTGCTTTGCGTTCAGAACATAGTATTTTTTTAGTTGTTTTACTTTTGTTTTATAGAATTCACATTATTTCCTGCTTATATTGTTTTTTGAGCAGTCTAGATATTCTCCATAACCGATGTGTAAGTTGGTCATGCAATTTATTGTCTGGCATGATCAACTTTTGCTGTAAGCTAACCCAAACTCCAAACTATATTAAGGAAACGCCATGATGAGTAAGTTGAGCGCAGTTTACTGTACCAAAAGCTTCTAAGTGAAAGTTAAGCATGCATTGACTGCTATCCTAGTATCCTAGCATAAATAGTAAGAATGCTAACGAGCATGTGCTTACAAACTTTACAAACTTATATATGTTCTGCGAATTTTCGGTTTTGATTTTTTTGTAATAACTTTCTTTTGTTAGCTTACTTTTATGCTTCTTGTTATACATTATTGAATCCTTGCATAAATATTTCTGACCATTTTATCTTTTCTAAGGTGCAAAAAACCGAGATAAGAAAAGATGAATGGAAATATTTTGTTCACTATCTTGTAAGTAACAGTCTTTTACTATAACTTTTTCGAAGTATACTTATGCGAGTAACATCATATTAATGCTTTTTATTGCTTCCTTGCTTATTTTTTCATGATAGAAAGCTATAATATGCTTTAATATATAAATAATAGTTCAACTACGTTGAGATGTTTTTGATAAATGATTTGCCATTGCAGGGTTGGAGCAAAAGGTATGTTTAAAGCATAACTCCATTAAGTATTTTCATTCTCTTGCTGTTTGCACTTGCGATAGGTACGTATTACCATTACGCTATATTATGGTCTAGGGGTTTTCTTGGTTGAATGCTTCATGTTTGATGAAAATTTACTTTGAATATAGTAAATTTGAAATCCTACCTTTTTGCATTTTGTTTTAAACTTCAAATAAATATGCATGGATCATAAAAGATACAAATTTACACAATAAAAATATTTGAAGAGGCATCTATTGTTATAAGAAATTTCAAGTTTCTTCGAAGTTAAAAAAAATTTAAAAGGTATGCATGTAGAAGACTAATGACATATATTATACCTTTTTCATCCGGTTGGCAGAATATAAAGATTTTCCTAGTCCGAAAAGTACGAGTTTTCATCTTCTCAGAGTTTGAATCCTGCTACTGCCAACATATGGTGTATTGGTTATTTATCATTTTTTTTTCAAGTACAGCATACTTGCTTTTTGTTCATGCTTTCATAGCCCAAAAGGCATGAGGGACAATATTAGCATAAATGCATTCAGACTGTTCAGCCAACAAGCTTAAGCTTTTATACCTACCGTGAGCTTAACTGTTTTTTATAATCTTATCTCATGGGTTGGATTTCTTGTTCTTAAGATGGACCGTTTTAATTTTCATCCCAATTTTCAATTGTATACCCCCACTGCTAAATTGGAATGAATATAAATCCTGGCAAGTCGCAAGGGCTATATTTTTATGCCAATAGTAGTGCTGAGTTTACAATTGAAAATTGTGATGTTAGGATTTCGTAATGAAGTAAAAGGTTTGAGAAGAAGCATAAGATGGCTAATCTGAAGAGGCTAATTGAATGCTTACTTGAACATGTTTGATTGTGATTATTCTCATGCTAACGTAGGCTTTTATATGATTTACTGTTACAGGCAGTGTAATGATGATAACCTTTCTTTTGACGCATCATCAATATAAATTATGAGAATCTCGTCTTTAACAGTCCATTACCTCTAATAGAAGAATCTAGTTTGATTTTTCTCGTGACTAAGAATTAAGGTTTGCAAGTCTATCTATATTTTGTGGTGAAAATGATTTCTGTGCGTGCTAATCAAAATTTACTTTTAATTTGACTACATTTTCTTTCATCTTGCTGAATTACTCTTTGCTACTCTTATCACGGTTTCCTCCTGCTTTTAACATTAATTATGCATTGTTAGTTTTAGTTTTGAAGAGCATGTACTTTGACATCATTTTTAGACAACATTTCCCGGTGATCCTCCTATGTCCACTTCTCAGAGAGTTGAAGGTAGGGTGAAGAATGAGAGGGATTAGGTCTATGAAGGAAAATCTATAGAGAACCTACATTTAACCAACGCAACAACCTTTTCCTGTAGGTAAATATGTGTTCCATCATTTTTTGGGAAGTTTGCAAGCTATTCTTTCTTTTTATTCCATAACACAAATGCATAACTCTATACTTCAGGTCGTATAGGAGATTAATATTTATCATCATCCTTTGTCTCATCCTAATAATTATGGTTTGAATTTATAAATCCTTATTTTTAAATCATTTCTATTGAGTTTTTGTTAGACCGGCTCATGAGCCGGTTGAACCGGTCCAGGTTGGACTGGTTCACATCTATTCCAGGTGGAATAGACCTGCTGCTCAGCAAGGGGCGGACGGCCCTGTGGGGCCCAGCGGGGTTAAGAGGGAGTTTTGAATTTAATAAAAGAAAGCTTTTGGAGGGAAAATTCAAACTCAAGGGCTGTTTAGGGAATTGTATTTGTGCTTTTTCTTTAAGTAGTTATTTTCTCTATAGGGTTAGGTTATGTGATGCTAGAGAGTTGGAGAGAAGGATCTTCTTCTTGAATTAAAGATTCATTTTATTTTGTCTTCTTTCTTTTTTATTTCAGTAATTTCAAAACCTTTAAATGTGGATGCCATCATAATTTTCTCCTATAAATCTGATTTGTGCTTGCTGAAATTTAAACTTCTGCACCTGTATTCTATCAAATTGGTATCAGAGCACATCGATCCAAGGGTACCAATGGCCGGAAGGAAAGTGGAAGTTTTGGAGAGAGAATTAGGTCAATTGAAATCTGATTTTGAAAAAAATATTTCAGATTTTCAAAACCAATTTGCATCCGTCCATGAAACGATGGATGGAAAGTTTGCCGTAGTGGAAGACATGCTGAAGAAGTTGCTTGAAGTCAAACCCAATACGACAACATCTGAAGCAAAAAAAGCCACCGACGGCCAAGGAAGAGGTGGAAACCTTAATCCGTTTAGAGGATGGGAGAATCAAGAGGTGGAGATTTTGGAGGGAGAAGACGAGATGCCTCTGCTAGAGCCTATTTTTGAGAGGAGATGAGTATCTCGTATGAGCGAAGGGGTGCTGATTTTGCAAAAAGAGGTGTTTATTATAACGCTAGGGTCCTGATTCTGAAAGGAAGGGGGGATTTTGAAGAAGGATTTGGGTTGAACATAGAAAGGAAGATCGCGACAATTCTTTTTAGGTAATGGGAGGCTACGGAGGATTTAGGGGAAACAAAGGCGATCCAAGGGTATGGAAGCTGAAGATGTCCATCTTTGAGGGCGAGGACGCACATTAGTGGATCTACAAGGTAGAGAGATACTTTACTGTCAACGGGTTGAAGGAAAAGAAATTGACGGCGGCTGGTTTATGTTTGGAGGAGAAAGCATTGGCATAGTATCAGTGGAGGGACATGGGTCGATCCATTCGGAGTTGGAGGGAGTTCAAGGATTGCTTACTGTAACATTTCTGAACTAATAGGAGATGAGACTTTTATGAGCAGTTCTTTGCCCTAACGTAGGAGGGGATTGTGGTAGAGTATTGTGACAGGTTTGAGTACCTAGGTAGCAGGTTGGACCGGCTTTCTAAGACAGTGCTGGAGGGGAATTTTATGAAGGGGCTCAAGCCAGAGATCCGAGCAGCTATTAGAGTGATGAGTCCGCGTGACTTGGGGGAGGCCATGGAGCTTGCACAGTTGGTTGAGGACCAAAAGCATCTGAAGAGGGGGGCTAGATGCATCATTTCAGGGGGGTCATATAGGAAGACCACCTCTTTCTTAGCTCTTAAGGGACCCGCACTAAGAAGCCTGTGTGAGACCCCCAAGGAGAAGCTTGGAGTAGGGGGATTTGGCAGAAACTTCAAGAAACTCACCGAGGAGTTGCATAAGAAGCAGACAAAGTGGTTGTGTTTCAGATGTGATGAGAAGTACATGCTAGTGCACATGTGTAAGGATCGAACTCTTCAGGTTCTCATCATCTGTGATGACGAGGAAGCTGAGGAGGGAGGTGAGAGTGGGAAGTGGCTGATGAAAAGGAGAAGCTACATCTGGTCATGACGAAAGTCTCCTTGAACTTATTGGTGAGGTTCACCCCGAATTACACAATGAAAGTGAAGGGAGAGATAACAGACAGAGGTGGTGGTGCTGATCGACTGTGGGGCTGCCCATACTTTTATCTCCAATAAGGTCGTTGACTAGTTGGGGGTGAAATTGGTGGACACTAGGGGATATGAGGTGATGATGGGCATTGGGAAGGTGGAGATGGGTAGAGGAGTGTGTAGGGGAGTGGTGCTGACTCTCTAGGGGGTTCAGGTGAGGGAGGATTTTCTTCCATTAGAGTTGAGAATCATTGATTTCATTCTGGGGATGAAGTGACTACAGGCCTTCGGAGATACCAAGGCTAATTGAGGAGCACTGGTGATGGAGTTGATGGTGAAGGGAAGAAGGATGGTGATCCAGGGAGATGCAGGATTGTCTAGGGCTGCGGTGTCTCTCAAAACTGTGGTCAGGACAATACAGGAGGTGGGGAAAGGAATTCTGGTGGTACTGCAGAGCTTAGAAGGGATTACACTGGAGGAAGGGGGAGGCACCCCTTTTTAGTCCAACTTGTTCAATAGTTAAAGGGGGGTTTTTTAACCACCCCAGGGCCTACCTCCACTGAGGAAGCTGGAGCACGCCATCACCTTGAGGGAGGCGGTGTTAATGATTAGTATTTGGCCATGCCATTACCCCCATATTCAGAAGGACGAGATAGAGAAGCTGATCCGTGAAATGTTGGAGGTGGGGATCATTAGGCTGAGTGTGAGCCATTTTTCTAGCCCAGTCTTATTGGTCAAGAAGAAGGATGAGAACTGGAGATTTTGTGTGGACTACCGGGCTTTGAATAAGGAGACTGTGCTGGACAAGTTTCCAATTCCAGTGATTGCTGAGCTATTGGATGATGAGCTGTATGGAGTAGTGGTGTTTACTAAGATGGATATGAAGTCGAGTTACCATCAGATCAGGATGAGTGAGGAGGATGTCTAGAAGACTGCATTCAAGACACGTGAGGGGAACTACGAATTCTTATTGATACCGTTTTGTCTCACAAATGCTTCTACTACTTTCTAGTCCCATATAAATAGGGTATTTCGACAATCAATGTTTAAAATTGCGTAATCGGGTATTGAGGTATTTTTAGTTCGTGAGGCAAGACGTAAGCCTCAAGGTGTTTTGAGGCGTAAGCCTCAAAATCAAAAGATTGCGTAAACAAAATAATAAATTTTGTATATATACTAATGAGTAAATAATATATAAAACATAAAAATGCGCAAGATATGAAGTGAAATCAAAATATCCCAATAATAAGATAACATGAAATATAGTTCAACTCAAACTCTATCTTTCCCAAATCACAATATTCTTTTCATTAACATATAATTCCAAAAATAAATAGCAATGACATATCACATAAGAACTCATAAGTCATCATCACTGTCATCACTAAGGGTCTTCATTTGAATCATCATTATGATGAACTGCTCTTTCCCCTTCCTCCTCTCCTCCTCTCCTATAGAGTCCAATGGCTCCCAATCAGCTCCTTTCTCAATATCAGTTATCGTTATCTTCCCTAAATATTTTTGAACAATATCAAAATGAATAATAGTGTAATACATTAATAAAAGTCTAAGAAAATTATATTATTTATATAC